ACATTTTTAAAGGCCTTCTCTCCAAATACTGTGACATTTTAATCTTTAGGAACTGGGAGTTGGGACTGCAACATACAAATTTGGGAAGACACAATTTAGCCCATAACAGACGGTTTAAGGGGGTTATGCACTTGGATTAATTCGCACTGATATTCAGGGTACAATAGGGAGTGTCGGTATCTACTTGGCAAGATACTGGGACAAGATAAGAATGTTTAACTGTATTTGTTTTCTGTGCTTTTGTAAGAGATTACCACAAAGAAAATTTATTATGGCTCTGGAGGTCAGAGGTCCAATACGGGTCTCCCTGGACCAAAATCAAGGTTTTAGCAGGGCATTTCTTGAGGTTCTAGGGAAAACGTTCACTTTTCCAGTTCCTAAAAGCTGCCTGCATTCCTTGACTGTGGCCCTCTTCCTACATCTTCAAAAGTAATAATAGGGTTGGGGATGTAGATCAGTGGTAGAGTGCTTGCCTAGCGTGTAGAAAGCGCTATGTTTGATCCCCAGCACGGGAGGAAATAAAAACAGCAGTGATAGTGGTTCAGTCCTCTTCACATGCATCTCTCTGACCCCTCTCTTCTACCTCTTCTATTTTTAAGAACTCATGAAATTAGATGTGGTGTACCCAAGTAATCTAGGATATTCACCCCATCTCGAGGTTAACTGATAAGCAACTTTCATTGCACTTGGAACCTTTATTTTCTTTTGCCTTGTGAGATAACAAATTCAGTCTACAGGAATTTAGATTTCAATATGGACATCTTTGGTGTTCATTAGTCCACCTGTATGGCTTCTTACACTAACATGGAGTGGAGGTGTTTGCCATGGTCATCTTTGTGTTGCTTGACACATACTTACAAGGTAGGTAAAGAAAGTGTAGGGTGCTGTAGAAATGTGTAGCAGGGTTGCTTTAGGAATCTGAGCAGACATTCTAAGAAAGCAATGAATAAGCTGAGACCTTAAAATGGAAAAGGGGAATACCAGAATAAACTGTACCATACAGAGAGAATTGACAGCACTCAAGAAAATATGTTCTCTATGGAGATTAAAATATTTTTTAAAAGATGTGAAAAAAGAAGCAAAGCGTGAGGCTCAAGAGATAAGAGGGCAGGTTGTCAAAGGTATAATCAATCATATGAAGGCATTTGAATTTTATCCTCATTCTTTTTTGAGTTTGGGTTTTTGGTGGTGTTGTGTTCTGAGATAAGGTCTCACTATGTTGTCTAAACCGGAGTCAGATTTGCAATCTCACTTCAGCCCCCTCAGTAGCTGGGGTTGCAAGTGTACATCCCAGCACCTGACTATCTCCCTTCTTTATTGCCTTTGCTACACAGACTGAACCTCAGAGTCTCAAAACTGATCATCTGAACATTTCTCTCAGAAGCACCCTGAACTTTCTTACATCTTTGTCTTTGTACTGCACGCAGCAAGAAAAACTCAAATTTTGCATAATTTTGGCTAGCATGGAGTTATGGCAAATGGCACCACCCCATGTTATTCTGTATGTACATTTTTGGATATATTGGAAGAAACCATACAATTTTGCAAACTGATACCTCTGTAAGTTTATGTTTTCTAATCTCAGGTAAATCCTCAGTGCCATTTGTCTTTTAGTTTTCCTTAGGTCATTTTCCTATTTCTTTTTTTATTGAAATATAATGCACATGCATAAAGTTCACCTATATGAGATGTAGAACTTAATGGGTTTTTCTGAATTTATTCTTTTTGTCTTTATAGTACTGAAGATTGAACCCAGGGCCTTTGCACTGAGCTACATCTCCAGCCCTTTTATTTTTAGTTTTTATTTTGAGACAGGGTCTAAGTTGCTAAATTCCCCAGGTTGGGCTCTAACTTTCATTCCTCCTGCCTCAGCCTCTCAGAGTGCTGAAATTACAAGTGTATGCCACTCCACCCACCTCCCTACAGTCTTCTTAACACAGCAATCAAAATGATCTGTTTCAAACCTACTGAAAATCACAACAAATGATCTGATCTCCTAACCTATGATTTTGATCTTATCTCCCCAAACTTTCCTCTTGACTCACTATATCTACTCTAGCCTTCATGCAATTTTTTTCTTTTTCTTTTCCCTTTCTTTTCTTTTTTTTTTTGTTCTTTATTTTTTGTGACAAGGTCGTGACCTTGAAGTCACTACATTGTCCACCTGGCTGACCTTGAACTCACTGCAGTCTTCTGCCTCAGCAACCTAAGTGCTAGGATTACAGGCAAGCACCACCATGCCCAACTTACTTTTTAGACAGGATATTACTGTGTTTGCATAGGATGGTCCTGCACACCTGGGCTCAAGTGAGCCTCCTACCTCAGCCTCCTAAGTAGCTGAGATTACAGGTGCACACCACCATGCCCAGGTCTTTCTTTCTCTCCCTTTGTTTCTTTCTTTTGCTTTTCCTTTTCTTTCCTTTTTTTTTCTTTTTTTTTTTTTTCCCCGGTACCGGGGATCCAACTCACGACCTCGCGCTTGCCAGGCAGGCACTGTGCCGCTGAGCTAAATCCCCAGCCCCTTTCCTTTTTTTTCTTTACATAGAGTCTTGCTCTGTAGTTCAGGCTGGCTTGGGACTCATTATGTAGCCCAGAGTGGCCTCAAACTCGAAATCCTCTTGCTTCAGCCTTCTTTTTTTTGGAGCGGGGGGAGTACCTGGAATCAAACTCAGGACCTTGCGCTTGCCAGGTAGACACTTGTGCCGCTGCTTCAGCCTTCTGATTGCTGGGATTACAAGTGTGTGCCACTGTGTCCAACTTTGCTATTTCTTGAACATGCTAAACATGCTTCCACTGAGGGTCTTTGCCCTTTGTGTTTTCTCTGCCTACACAATTCCCCTAGATGTCTACATTATTCACCTCCTTATTATTCTAATGATTGGTCAGCTGTGGGAATCACACTATCATAGAGAAATGAAGCTTGATCTTTATTTTCTCCTTTGAGGCTTTATACCAGGTAACTGACAGAGACTTTTGAGTTTTAAACATTTGGACTTCCAGACACTTGAAGTTTAACTGATTATTTATTGTGTACTAGACACAATTCCTAAACACCAAATACACTGTATCAGTTTAACTGCTGCAACAATCCAACATAGTCGGTATCATTCCTACACCTAATTTACAGATAGGAAAATTGAGGCTTATAAAGATAGTACATAAATTGTCCGGAAAAGCCAGGCATAGTGGCGCAAACCTGTAATCCCAGCACTGGGGAGGCTGAGGCAGGAGCATCATTGCAAGTTCGAGGCCATCCTGGGCTACAAAGTGAGCTCAAGGCCAGCCTGAGCTGCATAGTGAGACCCTGTCTCAAAAAGACAAAAAAGATAAATAAATAAATAAAATTGTCCAAAATCATAGAGTAAAAAGTTTATACAGGGGCTGGGGATTTAGCTCAGAGGCATAGTGCCTGCCTGGCAAGCGCAAGGTCATGAGTTCGATTCCTAGTACCAGAAAAAAAGGAAAAAAAAAAAAAAAGAAAAGTTTATACAGAGCTTGCATTAGAGCCTAGGTCCCTGTAACTCCAAAGTCCAATTTCATAATCACTTGGCCTTGAAGCAAAATTTAAATAAATTTCATAAAGACATCTTCTCATCCTTAATGGCATAAATTGCAAAATATTGCAAGCAGAAAGAATAAAGACTTTTGAGTGCCCCATCATCTCTCAGATTACCTCTGAGAAGTACATCTGTCATTGGGTGTCTAAACCTCAGCTCTATTGTCATTTTGTGCTGGGGCTGGGGTTGTACTGTGCACTGTAAGATGATTAATAGCATCCCTAGCCTCTGGCAACTAGACACTATGTAGCCCAGGCTGGCCTCAAACTTGTGGCATTCTCCTGCCTCAGCGTCCCAAATGCTCAGATTACAGGCACATGCCAACATGCCTGGCCTAATATCCTTTTTCTTATAAGGATACCAGTTATACTGGATTAGGCCCAGCCTAATGACTTCATTTCAGAGGAAGCACCTCTTTAAAACCATATCTCCAAATACAGTCATATGCTGAGGCACTGCGGGTTAATAACTTTAATATGTGCATTTTGGAAGGGCACATTGGGGCCCCTAATACCGAATTTAAGTCTTCTTTTCTATCTCTCTATCTTAGTTACTTTTCTCTCGTTGCTGGGACAAAATACCTGACATCCAGAGTTAAAGGACGAAAAGGTTTATTTAGCTCACGGTTTGTGGAGGTTTCAGTCTATTCTCAGCCGGCTCCAAGGCAGAGTGGCTTGTGGCAGAGGGCAACAGTTCATGGCAGCAGAAAACAGCAAAAGCAGCAGGAGCAAAAAGGGAGGAAGGAGAGAGCAAGCCTCTTATCCTCTCTTATACTGTGTGCAAGCTACCCACCCCAGGGCGGGTGTAGCACTCACACTCATTATCCCAGCATTGGACCATGAATCAGTCACAAACTCTAGAAGCCCGCCCCATGACTACTTGAGGCTTTGAGGGGACATCCAGACACAAACTATAACACCCCCTTTCTTTTTGCCTGGGGGAACTGAGCACCCACTTTGAGCCAGACATTCTGGTAAGTGCTGGTAATAAGATGTGGTCTCTGCCTGGTAAGGTTTACAGTAAGGTAGCCAAGATAGATATTTTAAAAGTAACAAGTGACATGGAAATGTGCTTTTGTAATGGATGACAGGAAGGCCTTCTTCCCATCGGTTCCCAGACTGGCTAGGCAGGTCAGAGAGCCACGTTAAAACTGAGCTAACTAGGAGGTTAATGAGTCAGCAACTTGTCAAACCTCGGGTTTGTTACAAAGTAACAGAGAGGAAGGCCAATCAGCAGCCGGTGCTACTTCGGCCTGCCCCTTACTGTGACGCGAGCCTCTCCCACTCTCTCTGCCCCGCCCGCTGCGTCCTCTGTGGCAGCCACCAATTCTCCCAGAAAGCGTCTCCCTGGGCTCTAACAATAAGGGTCAGTCGGCCACGCCTGCGCTGTGGAGCCGGGCCGGGGAGGCGGGTGGGAAGGGGGAGGCGGGTGGAGGACGGGCCTCACCGCGGGCGGGAGGCGGGGAAAGCAACGCAAGCAGCCTCGACGCCATTTGCTGCTGCTGAGCGTGGGCGCCAGCGGATCGCGGTAGAGCTTGGTCGCCGGACTCTCCCGCGCACGCAACTCGGCCTCCAGCTCCAGCCGAGACCCACGCGGACCTCCGCTGCCCCGGGCGCCCCCTCGGAGGAGTCGCTGACGCCGCAGCCACCCGGGAAGAAGTCCGAGAAGCCGCTCGACCGTCTTTACCACCATGCCCAAGAATAAAGGTAATGCCTCCCGGACCCGGACCACAGCGAGGCTCCGATCGGTTTCCCCGGGCCAGCCCGCGGCCTCCGGACTCACCCAGGCCTCGGTGACCTTCCTGCCTTCCCTCCCGGCCTGCCTGTGGCCAGGCGGGCCGCGTGCGACTCCGGGCTCCAGGGAGGAGGGGAAGTTACTCGTGTTGCCCAGTTTGATCACATTGGGGTGGAGCCGACGCCATTTTTGTGGGGCCTCCTAGGGGAGAATGTGGGCTTTTGCCCCTGATTCGCGCCAGGCTACGGTGGCGCGTTAGGGACCTTTAGGGACACCGCCAGTGGACCTCCTGGCCATCGCAGATGGGTTCCTTTGGTTTTACGGGGCTAGGGAATTTAATCCCCGGGTGCAGTTCCGAACTTGAAAAGGGCCATGTCCTTCGTGCCCATCTGGTACTCCTGCCTGGGCTGTTCTATCCACAATGCTCAGTATTGTTGAGGTTGTTTCTTGGTCCCTTGAAACAGCGGGCGATATCTTGAGACTTTTTTTCCTTGATACATTTTTAAGATTTATCTCTAGGGACTTTGCTACATTTCTTTACACATTTCATTTTTTCTTAGACTTGGTTTATATTATCCTAAGTTTGCTACTTTTTTCTCAGACTGTGTGTCCTTGATGGGAATAAAAAAAATACTCTGAACATACACAGATTATCACATTTGACGGTAAGTTTATCGCGGATTTCCAAAATAGAAGACTTGGCCAAAGTTAAAGCAGAACACTCGTAAGGAAACCCTGCTTTTATAGAATCACCGTGTTTCTGTTAATTCTGGTATCCTCAGCATGTATGGCAGAAAATTGTGCGAGTAGAAATAGGAAAAACTGTATTTCCTACGGGAGAGGAGGAGCATATTAGAAGTTCCTTTTGATTGCTCATCTTTAGGATCTTCTTCCCTGACTCAGGCCTGCTTGTGAAATCTACTTAATATTTGATTGGCACCAGGTATTCTTCCTCATTTACTCTTTGTACATGGCAGTACTCACATCTTTCAAAGTGTTCCCATCACAGTTGTGTCCACGACTTGGTGCAGTCCTCGCAGACCACTCCACCATGCTGCCCTCAGAAATCAAACTTGCAGGTTTTGTAGCAAGAATTTTTACTACTAATTATTATAGAAAAGATGGTGTAATAACATGGCATTTTTAAAGTCTTAAATTTTTTCTTTTAATCTGTAAAATCATTTATTTTGAAATGGTAATTGGATTACATCAATAGGTATTCTCATCTTCATTTCTACTGATGAAATTTCCAGTTCCCTCACTAAACTCTTTAAATTTTGAGACAGAGTCTCCTTATGTAGTATGGGGGCTGGCCTTGAACTCACTATGTAGCCCAAACTGGCCTCGAGCTTGTGGCAATCCTCCTGCCTCAGCCTCCTGAGTGCTGAGATTATAAGCATGCCACCACCACTCCTGGCTAAAGGGCAGGAATAGCATCTGTCTTAATCACATTGGATTGCTACCATTTGAAACTTAGGAGATGCTCAATAAATATTTGTTGGACTAAATCATCTCCCTTCTGTTGTTGATGCCACCCTTAGGTGAATAATAGGTTCCCCTTTGGTTGCAAGGGGACATGACTTCTGCACTAACTGCATCTAGTTCATTAGCTTTGCATCTTGCTTAGGGAAGATTCCACCTGGGAATTTATTTTGATTTAAAAAGGGGATCTGACAATTTCAATTTAGTTTAAAGATTTTTGAATTTTATGAAGTTTAGTAATACAGAAATAAGCTCATACTTATTTTTCTATCTTCATTGGAAAGTCCAGAAGCCCTGTAAGTATGATCTTGTGGTGGTTAACCCAAGTGTGGGCAAAAATTGCAGTGGACTATGTGTTGCATGGCTTTTGAACTAATTCTTACCAGTTTATTTCCTCTAGAAATTCTTAGAAAGCCATCCTCAAATAAGGAAAAGGCGCATCCTTTGGCCTGCTCTTGAAGGGTGTGTTGGTTACTTTTCTCTTGTTGCCAAAACAAAATACCCAATGCCCAAATTAAAGAGGAAAAAGTTTATTGAGCTCATGGTTTGTGGAGGTTTCAGTCCATACTAGGGCAGGGTCCAAGGCAGGGTGGCATTGCAGAAGGGTGCAGTCAATGGCAGAAGACCTCAAAAGCAACAGGCACCAAAGGGGAAGGAGCAGAAAGAGCAAACCTCTTTCCCTACCTTACATTGTATGCAGGGTACCCGCCCCAGGGCGGGTGTAGCACTCACAGCCATAATCCCCGCATTGGACCATGAATCAGTCACAAACCCCAGAAACCCGTCCGGTGCCTGCATGAGGCTTTGGGGAGACATCTAGATACAAACCAGAACAAAGAGCATTTGGGGCGAGGTGCTCCTACTCTTTGAAATGGTACTGTGATTTTAAGAGCACTACTCTTCCAGGATGTATGGACTACTCTTGATTGGTTCATTTGAAGACTTTAACTGTTTTGGTTACTTTTTTCTTCCTCCTGGGACAAAATACCCAACACCCAAAATTAAGAATGCAAAGGTTTATTTAGCTCATTGTTTGTGGAGGTTTCAGTAATCAGCTGGCTCCAAGGCAGGGTGGCATGGCACAGGGGCAACAGTTCAAAGTGGTGGGACACAGCAAAGGAAGCAAGAGCAAAGGCAGGGAGCCAGCCTGCTTTCCTCCCTTATATTGTCAGCAGGCTTTCTACCCTAGGTGGGGTCCCTTAAACCCACACCACCTCCCTTTTCTTTCTCTTGCACAGGATGAGGATGTTTACAAAGTGAGGACCCTGGCCCCCTGCTGAGTCACTTAGTTAAGCTTGTAAACTTGGCAAGTTGACACAGTATATCAACCATTACACTTGCCAAACTGTAGTATGTAAGGCACTGAACAGAGCAGGTATGATCCTGGCCCTCCTGCAGCTTGCACTTTAGTTTGAAGATCTGCCTTGCATAATGGCTTGAAGTACTTTTCTCTAAGAAAACATTTTTGGTTTGCCCTAAACATGTCTTAAATACAGAATTCTAAGGATTGAGATGGATGGATCAGGAAGTTGTAGAGACCTACCTGACAATAGCACATAAGAATGTCAGACTTCCCCAGGAGGGAGTAAGTGCACTGATTCAAGAATTTAGATGTCTGGAACTGGAGAGTGCTTTCCTAGCATGTTCCAGACCCTGGGTTCAATCCCCAGCACTGCAACCAAAAAAATGTTAGATGTCTGTCTTTGCAATGGCAAAGGTGAATGTTCTGAGTTGTTAACTTCTTGCTGCTTCCAAGTCTTCACCTCTGCCTGTTGGTGTCACTACCACTTAGAGCCTTTTACCTGACTTTTGGAAATGACTGCCCCGCTCTGACTATAATTTTAAGTGAGTTATCTGACTTCTCTGAGCTTCAGTGAACTTATTGATAAATGGGGAATAAATGTCATCTCATAGGATGATCATGAAAACTAAGCACATGGCATTGTAGCAGAATAGTTCAGAGGAGGGTCACTAATCATATAACAGACAAGGCTGACAAGTAAAAGAAAGTAAATTGAGGTTGTTAGGGTTGTATGTTGAGACAGGGTCTCACTATATAGTTCCGGCTGGCCCTGAACCTGTGGCGATCCTGCCTCAGCCTCCCAAGTGCTAGAATTCCAGGTGTGCACCACAGTGCCTGGCATAAATTGAGTTTTGAATGGAAATTGCAACATGTATGGTGTTCTCTTATACCAAGTTTGAAGAACCACAGCTCCATGTCCATTCTCCCTACTTCATTTTGGAAACATCAGGTTCCTGGCATAGGGCTTCGCTTTACAAAGCATCCAAGATTTCCGCTTAGAATATTTGTACGATGTGATCAAAATATGTGATGTTTAATTTATAAGAAATAATTATTACAGTAAAAGACACGTCACGAATCCCCCTCAAAATATTCCCCCTCACTTATAACATACTTGGCCCATCGTTCTTGCCACCTTGTGAATCCATGCTGGAAGTCCTGTTTCACGAGGGGTTTTACAAAGCGGCAAAAAGAATGGGGTGAGTGTGCTTGAAGCCAAGGGTGGGAGAGGGTCTGAGGGAGGGTAATGGCAATGTGTCTTTTACTGCAAAAAATTTTTTAAATGTAAATATTCATCGTATTGTTAATCACCATGTATGTAATTACAGTTTTATTTGCAAAGATCATGTACTAAGGTAGAATTTTTTTCTATATGCTGTACTTTTACATAATATATGCTGTTTGTTTGTATTTTGTCTCAGGAAAATTCCAAAAGGAAATTCCATGCAGCAGGGTGGGTGATATATTAACATTTAATATGATAGAAGATTATAAATTTAAGAGGACTGACTAACCAAATTAGGTGAATTTTTAAATGGAAGTAATTTTAGAAGGTAGTTTTATAAGCCTTGATGTAGTTTTTCTTCATACTGTTTTGCACATACTTGATGTCTTTTTCTTTTTTTTCCTCTCTCTTAAAAACCCATTAGGTAAAGGAGGTAAAAACAGGCGCAGAGGTAAGAACGAGAATGAATCTGAAAAAAGAGAATTGGTGTTCAAAGAAGATGGGCAAGGTGAGAGCTTGTAACTTTTTTTTTCTTTTTTTTTTTTTTGGTCTTTTTGAGGCAGGGTCTCGCTATGCAGTTCAGGCTGGCCTTGTAGCCCAGGCTGGTCTCGAACACACAAGATCCTCCTGCCTCAGCCTCCCAAGTGCTGGGATTATAGGCGTGCACCACCACACCAGGCTTGCATTTCTCATTCCTTATACTTTCTAGAGCCTTCCTTTCAGTAATCATTTCTTTTTGGTACTAAGACTGCATTGAGAATTAATGGAGTTTCTGTAAACATACAGTTTTCCTTGTTTTATGTGAACATTTGTGTTGTAACTAAGAATGAATTGTACAGTTTAGAAGGAATTAAACCTTGAAAGCTACGGTTGACAGTTGCGTGATTTAGTGAACCATTTTGATACTAGACAGTGCCTCCCAGCGAGTTTAGTAGACTGGATATTTGAAGGATGAATCCAAGGTCTCTCCATTTTCATTGCCATTGCGGTATGATTTCATAAACTACAATAAAATAAAATTAAACATTTGATTTTTCTAGACTATTTAAGACCAAGATATGTAACACTGATAAACTCTGACCAACTCACTTGCTTTTTTCCCTATATTTGAGTGATTTTAAGCCTACAAAAAAGTTGCATCTTCCTACAGTTAGCTCCCATAAAGCTTTCATCATTCACACGTGTGTGTGTCTAAGGGCAAACATTCTCACATATCATGATCAGGTAATTTAATGTTAATATGATATCTAGTAGACTGTTTTCCCAGTCACTAGCACTTCAGTACAGAGCTTTTTGTCTTTTTTTTTTTTTTTCAGTATTGGGGTTTCAACCCACGGAGCTCTGAGCTACATCCCCAGTGGTTTAAGACAAGTTCTCACCAGGGTCCCTAGGCTGGCCTAGAAGTTGTGGTCCCCCTGCCTCACTCTCTTGAGTGGCTGGGATTACAGGCATGCACCGCTCTGTGCAGCTTTGTCTTTCTATAGAGCTTTTGGTGGATATAGTCGTGCTGTACATATAAGCTGCTAAAAACAAAATATGTTTTCTGGCTAAAACACTTTTTTTTTTCTTAGTCATTCTAGCATCCCTTAGCAGTTGAGCTTGTTGGCACACAGTGCTTTTTCTTTCTTTCTTCATATTTTTTTCTCTACTTTAGAGGGAGACGCTGCCTCTGAGTGGACCAACCACCTTGAGGTGCTAGGTTCACTATAGTCTGGTAACTTCTGCGTGTCAACCCCACTTTTGAGTTTGTTTACAAGTTAGTGGATAGCCTCTTTGCAGCAGTCTTATGAAATACCTAAAGGATCGGAAGTGATACGCCTGATGTGTCCCCTCGGTGCCACCACCCGTAGTCACTTTCCTGGTGTTTTCCATTTGCAGTGAAATTAACAAAGACATTGTTAACATTAAGCTACTTGCACTGCAAATTCCATGAGCTCTGCTTCTAAAGATTCTGAGGGAAAACAAAATTGGGCAAGGGTTGGAATGGGAGAGATTGATCAGGTATAATGTATATTTTGGGACAAGCCACCTTTGATCTCTAGGGGTAGAGCATACCATCATGAAGAGAGTCGTCATTCTGCTCACTCAAAATGAGCAGATAATTACAGCATATCTAACACTAGAGGCAGGTTGTAATAGAAACAGCATTACAGAGTCTTGTTTCTGTCTCTACCATTAAGTAGCTTGGTGTTTAATTGTCTTGTACTTACATGTTGACTGCATGGATTTATTTCCAACCAGTACAACCATGTGGTCTTACCTGTCGATTTTGCTTGGGCATTTTAAGTTGCTTTTATCAAGAATTGAGCAATATCCCCTACTCTTCTTTTTCTCCTTCTCCAGAATATGCTCAGGTAATCAAGATGCTGGGAAATGGACGATTAGAAGCAATGTGTTTTGATGGTGTGAAGAGGTTATGTCACATCAGAGGGAAATTGAGAAAAAAGGTAAATGGGGAGATTTGTTTTACATTAACAAATTGGTTGCATGGCTGGGGAATGCATCATTTGTGTTGCGTGTGTGTGTGCGCGCGTGCGCGCATGTGCGCGCGCACGTGCATTCTGGGTATTGACCACAGGACCTCTTGATGTTAACTACAAGCCCTACAACTGAGCTACATTACATTTCAAGCTCTCCATCTTTACAGTTTTTATGGGCCCAAGAGTTTACCTTGAAGTCAAAACGCAAGATCCTAAGGGTCATTTTATGCACATACCATTGTTTAAGAAATCATTTGCATCACCTGTCTTATACTCCCCCAAAATATTTAACCAGAATCTGAATCATGAGGAAATAACCATCAAGTCCAAATTGAGGGCCATTTTGCAAAACAAATAGCTTCCATTGTAATAAAATGCTAATATGAAAGGAGAGAGAGCTGGAAAACCATTCCAGTTTTAAGGATAGTTAAAGGGACCTGATAGGTGGCTCTTGCTTGGGTTCTGGCTTGGTGGTTAGGAGGGTAGTTATAAAGGGAATTAAGAAAATTTGAATAATGTTGTTTAAAAGTCCAAATTCTGTGGCTGGAGATGTAGCTCAGTGGTAGAGCCTACTTTGCAGGTCCCTGTGTTTAATCACTAGTGCCAAAAAAGTCCCCGCTCTGACTTTGAAGGGTTTGGGTTTTTTTGGTTAGTAATTTCAATCCTGTTTCTTGGTTTGGTTTTTTTGTTGTTGTTATTGCTGTTGTTTTTCTGGTACCGGGGATCGAACTCACGACCTTGCTCTTGCCGGGCAGGTGCTGTGCCGCTGAGCTAAATCCCCAGCCCGTCAATCCTGTTCGTAAGCTAAAACAGTTTCAGTACTTGTGTATACTTAAATAGGTGGAAGAGAGGGATGATACAGCCATGTAGTTTTCTATTACATGATAACCACTTGGAATGGTATTGGTTCATGATTTTAACTCTTAATTTTTTTTTTGGTTTTTTGAGACAGGGTCTTGCTATGCAGTTCAGGCTGGCCTTGAGCTCACTTTGTAGTCCAGGCTAGCCTTGAACTCGCAACAATCCTCCTGCCTCAGCCTCCTGAGTGCTGGAATTACAGGCGTGCGCCACCATGTCCAGCAACTCTTTTAATTTCTAAACTAATGTTACACTAGAATTTGATTCTTCATTTTTATTTTAAATATAACCTGGTGACTTCTTTTGTAGGTTTGGATAAATACCTCAGACATCATATTGGTTGGTCTCCGAGATTACCAGGTAGAAATTACATTAAAAGTCTTTGTTGTTTACTTGCTTGAATTTCATGAGCCATTTCTTTATTACTATTAGTACATGTTATTTATCAAGACTAATGGGTTACCTGTTGCCATATTCATACATGCGTGTAGCATACTTTGATTATTCATCCCTGTAACATCCCTTCCTCTTTCCTTCTCCCTTCCCGCTCTTTTCTTCCTCTCCCTTTCTCTAATGTAGCTGCTTTAGACATTGTGCAGGTGTTCCAAGGATTCTAGCTTCCAAATGCCAGTCTACGGAGTCAACACAAAGTTTTTATTAAGATAAATGGTCCCCCATTTTATATTTAAAAGTTCCCCCTTTTTTGGAGTGTTATTACGTACTGGTGATTTTATTTAATTTTAATTAGTAAAACAGAAAATATATACATAACAGACCTCTTCCCCAATTTTTAAAAATTTATTGGTTTGTAAATAAAAATCTACCCAAGCATAGTGGCACACGCCTGTAATCCCAGCACTCAGGAGGATGAGGCAGGAGGATCATTGTGAGTTTGAGACCAGCCTGGGCTACATAATGAGCTCAAGGCCAGCCTGAACTGCACAGCGAGACCCTGTCTCAAAAAAGACATAAAAAAAAAATCTAACCATTATTGTAGGGAATACAGCTAGCATGATTTAAGCACCCATCTCACAGAAGGCGTATAGCTTGGTATTAGAGGAAGAAAAGCGTGTAAGCAACTATAATACCTACTTAGTATGACCTAAGTATGTACTATGAATGTAGATGTGCACATGGGAGAGAAAATGATAATAATGGCCCTTAAGTATCTCTAACCACAACCATGACTTTATATTCATTGTGGATCTGAGATCTGTTGAGGTCCACCTGTTGGAACTCATCCCCGTTTGATAACACCTGTATTTTATAGCCTTGATTGCACTCTTGATTTTTAACTTATATTCCAGAATTAAAGAATTTCATCTAGGTGGCACCCACCTGTAATCCTAGCCCTCTGGGAGGCTGTGGCAGGAGGATTGCAAGTTTGATTCCAGCCTGGGCAGTTTAGTGGGACCCTGTCTCAAAGTAAAGTAATAAAAAGACTGGGAATATAGCTCAGTGCAAAGTTCAATCCCCAATAATAAAAAAGAGGAGAAGAAGGAGGAGGAGAAAACAAAGAAATGTACGCTTTAAATCATGGCGTTCTCAGTTGTGGGCATTTGTGCCTTCCAGGGCACATTGTCAGTGTCTGAAGACTTCCGGTGTCGTAATGGGGTGTGAGCAGCATTCCTGGCATTGCGTAGATAGCGGTCACGGGTGTTACTGAACATCCTACAATGCACAAAATATGTTTGGCTCAAAATAATTATTAGTGTCTTTGCTGAGAAAGTCTGCTTTAAATCGATACATCATTTTAATGTGTATTCAGAAGTAGGAAGAATTATTCCCTATTAGAGGGTACCAAAGTTCTGAAAGGAATAAAATTCTGTGTAATCTCACATGATCTTTCTTCTGTGACCCTGCTAATTAAAGGGTGGTCTGTAGCATCATTGTTTTTGGGAACTTGACAGAAATAAAAATGCTTGGACCCCCATCCCAGGCTTCCTTAATCAAATTAAGGATCATGACAAGATCTCCATGGGCTTCTATACACTTGATGATTTAAAAAGTTCTGATCTGAATGACTCTGCCCTTCATTCAGTTTTGACCCCTAGCTGAAGTTCTTTTCAAATGGAGAAGTGTAAACATTTTAAAGCAGTATTTCTCAGTGAGACATTTGCATCAGAAATACCTAAAGAACTTTTAAAACTAGATGGGTAGCTGGGCGTGGTGGCACACACTTGTAATCCCAACACTTGAGAGGCTGAGGCAGGAGGATCAATCGAGACCAGCCTGAAGTGCATAGTGAGACCCTGTCTCAAAAAGACACACACACAAAAAGAGAAAAAACTAGATTGGTAGGTTTCATATCCACTAATCTTCATGAAACTTGAAAACTCCAGAAGATCCTGATTGATATATAACCTAAGAAGTCCAGCTATCTGGAAAGGCATGTAGATTTCCTTAGGTCCTATCAGAGACTCAGTTTTTTTTAATTGTATTGTTTTATCAACGTGCAAATTATGGTGCCAGGAAACTTATATACCAAGTGTATTAGAAAATACCTTAAAAAATTTGCATTTGTGTAGTTAAGATCTGTGAATGTATTATTTAGTTAGTCATTATTAAATTATGCATGTAACTTTCTTCTGGCTTAAACACAAGGATCTTTTGCAGGGATAGAAAACTTTATACATTTTTTTGTTGTTTGGTTTGTTAGGACAGGGCATCCTTGTGTAGTTCAGACTGATCTTTGATCTCACTGGCCTGGAACTCCCACCACATCCAGCCTAAAACTTTATTTATTTATTTATTTTTCCTTTTTGAGACAGGGTCTCGCTATGCAGGTCAGGCTGGCCTTGAGCTCACTTTGTAGTCCAGGCTGGTCTCCAACTCACAAAGATCCTCCTGCCTCAGCCTCCTGAGTGCTGGGATTACAGGCGTGCACCGCTACACCCAGCCCCAACCTAAAACTTTAAAATTTAAAGAAAGGGAGAAGGATTTGTTGCAAAGTAGTGAGGGGTTTTTATTCAACTTGAAAGTAATTTATGAAATAACTGGTAATATTTTAGTATAATCAGTTCTAAAACCTGCTTGTTTGTATTTAAGGATAACAAAGCTGATGTGATTCTAAAGTACAATGCGGATGAAGCAAGAAGTCTAAAAGCATATGGCGAGCTTCCTGAGCATGGTAATGACTGAGTTCAATTAACTTGTCAGATGGTGGTTAGGTAAAGGAATTTTCATAGAATTTTGGAGACTTATTTATTATAGTATACTAGATAGTGTAAGAAAAAATATTACTACAATTCTGTTTCTGACAAATACACTTTAAGTGAGGAGTTATGCTTTATAAGTACTAGGCTTCTGCGTAATGCCAAAGGAATTATTTTTTTACAGTAATATTTTTAAATTCCTTTATGAAGGGCCAGGGGTGTGGCTCAGTGGTAGGCTCCTTGCCTGGCATGGATAAGACCCTGGATTCAATCCCCTGCACCACGAAATTGTTTTTTAAAATAATTCTTGCTGAATGTGGTGGCACATACCTGTAATCCCACAGTCAAGAGGCTGAGGCAGAAAAATTGCAAGATTGGGGCCAGCCTGGACTATAATGCAACTCTTCCCAAAGCATCAGGATTTATTTAAGAGGTCAGTTTTCGATCCATTTCCCACACTCAAGAGGCTGAGGCAGAAAAATTGCAAGATTGGGGCCAGCCTAGACTGTAATGCAACTCTTCCCAAAGTATCAGGATTTATTTAACAAGTCAGTCTTCAATCCATTTAATCCTTGTATCATAGTGACCTGCAGTTTTTTCAACTAATACTCTTTGTTTTCCCCCTTCTAAATACAAAAGCAATGCATTCTTAATACAGACAACTTAAATCTCTCATAATCTCATGAAGGAAAATACACTTTATATACTATTTTTTAGTATATGTGCTGCCAAAGCAGGCACTATATACTATTTTGTAAGCGTACATTTTCTACTTGTCAGATGTTTGGGGGCTATCAGTATTTATGATCTAAGAATTACTCATACCTGGAAAGGCCTAGCATATCCTAATTCCTTTTTCATTGCACCTTTCTGATTGATGTGTCTGTCTAATGATTGGTGAACTAGCTATGATATTATCTCAAGGAAATAAAGTAGGTAGCATGTGCTCAGAACTTTTTCTTTTTTTGAGACAGGGTCTCACTACGCAGTTCAGGCTGGCCTGGACTCGCTGTGTAGCCCAGGCTGGTCTCAAACCCTTGGCAGACCTCCTGCTTCAGCCTCCCAAGTGCTGGGACAGGCATATGCCACCACGCCCAGCTGTTCACAACTTTTTTTGAAGCATACCTGGAAGATGTCATAACTTCAAAACTAATGTAATTAGAACCAGCCTTGGCTAGAAATTAAAAATACTTATATGAATGACCAAAAAAATTAAACAAATACTCTTCATCTTGATAGAGCAGTGATCTTTGAGGAAATACTGCATAATATTTTGCTATGTGTAGTAGGTTTGGTAGATAAGAGGTTTGGAAGGATTCCCGAAAATGAAAACTTTGATTAAATTACAAAGTTGGCTTGTGTGAATTTTCTTTTATACCTCAGTACTTACTATCAAACCATTTATAGTGGGCAATTATTCATTTTATTTATTTATTTATTTTTTGTTTGTTTTGGTTTGGTTTTTTTCCAGTATTGGGATTCGAACTCATGACCTTGCACTTGCCAGGCAGGTGCTGTGCCGCTGAGCTAAATCCCTAGTGCCCCCTTTTTTTAAATTTTTTATTGTTTTGGTTTTTTCCAGTACCGGGAAAATTATTCATTTTAGTAACATCATGATTATATATTTGTTGTGTCTCTAGCTAAGATCAATGAAACTGATACATTTGGTCCTGGAGATGATGATGAAATTCAGTTTGATGACATTGGAGATGACGATGAGGACATTGACGATGTAAGTAGATGCACCCCGATTTTCTCATTTCTGTTTATAAGTTCTCCATAGAGAACCAGCCCTTTCTCCAAAGTCCTTTTAATTCTGGGAATGTGGAACACTTAAATAAGAGTATATTTTGAGACTTGTCCATTATTTAAAATCCTCAGTATTTGAAAAACAGCCAACCTGTTCATGCTTTGAGACATTACTCTTCATTATTTCTTCAGAACAAATCAGTGTTTGCCTTAGCAATATGAATGTCAGGTACTCTAATCATAACTTCAGAGTATTTAGGGCTGAGGACATAGCCCAGTGGTAGAATGTGCAGTGGCCCTGGGTTTGATCTCTAACACTGCAAAGAAGAAGAAATGGAGTAGACATCTGAGAAATACAACATCAAAAGAACTACCTTCTCAAGTGAGGCATTAGTATGTTAAAGAATAATCCTGTTTGTTTGAGCCAGCTTAATGTTGAAGTATTGAAATTAGAACATTCATTGAAAGCCTTGTTAAAAGGGTTTATCTGTTGAGTGTGCACTATTGGTAAACTCCTGGTTTGGCATGTTTATTTTGAGGAAAATATATTGTTCCTAATAAAGCAGTAGTGCCCAAAAGAGTGCTTTTCTGCTGTTACTGTATTTAAGTGAAATTCAAACGTGATTTTTTTTTTGCAATATAAATTTAGTAACTGATGTAACAAGTTATTTTTATGTGTTCACATCAGGGTCATAATTTGTGTGTCTTGCTGCTAGGCTGCTTCAATCATCTGTAATACATATGTGACTGTCCATCAAGTGGCTTTTTATTAATTTTATTAGTATCACTGATAAAAGTGATTAGATCCATTTGTACCACCAGTGGTAAAACCACCTGATGGGGCAGTCATGCATGTATCACATGTGGTTCAAGCCAGTGGGAACTTGTTAAATCTGGTTTCAACCCCCTTTACATAGAATGTAATTCAGGAAGCACCCATATATAAAAACTCTAAAATAATACTGTTAGATTTTAGTCAAAGATGTAATTTCAAAGTATCTAGAAGCAGTTGTTCCCAATCACAAGTGTGCAGTGGTATTACCAGAACTTTTCAAAGATAACAAGGCAAGTTTTTCTTAGGTCTGATTCGGGCAAAAACACATGTGGTTCTATACAATCACCTCAGGACATTGATTCGAGGACCCACATATGCACACAGATCCTCGGGTCCCTTATATAAGTGGTGTAGAATTTGAAGCTGCCCATACTGGTGCATGCCTGTACTTGTACCACTCTGGGAAGATGAGGCAGGAGGATCACTAGAGAGACATTGTCTCAAAATTTTAAAAAAGCTAAGGATTGAACAGTAACACCTTGGTTCATGAATGCTTCTGTTTGCAAACAGATTCATTCTGTTCGCAAACAAAAGCATTTGGCAGAATTTTGCTTCCATTCAGACTCCACCTTGGGTGAAAAACACGACCAAGGCCATCTTCCCCACACAAAAACAAATGCACTCATCTTTCCCAAAATCGTAAAACCAAGATACTAGTGTATTTCACTGCAAAGCTTCTGAGTTTAATCCCCGATACCACCAAAATAATAATTAATAAAAGAAATTTTAAAAACTTATTTATTTTTGTCTTTTTGAGACAGGGTCTTGCTCTGCAGTTCAGGCTGGCCTTGAGCTCACCTTGTCGCCCAGGCTGGTCTCGAACTCACAATGATCCTCCTGCCTCAGCCTCCTGAGTGCTGGGATTACAGGCACGCACCACCACTCCTGGCATAATTTTTAAAATTTTAAAAAGGGCTAGGGATGGAAGGAAGGTAGCAAAACAAAGCTGCAGTACTTGCACATAACCCACATACATCTTCCCATATATTTTAAATTGCCTCTAGATTATATAGAATGCCTAATATTCTATAGATGCTAAATAGGGAGTGGTGCTGTCTTGTTTGGGGAGTAATGGCAGGAAAAATGTGTATACAGTACAGACACGATTTCCTTAAATATTTCTTGTAAATTATTGAATCTGTGGATTTGAAACCTGTGGACATTAGATTTATCACATAGCCATCCTTAAATTCATCCTTAGTCAGTCTTAAATTTTGACACATCTCCGAACGATGAATTACAAAGAATCTGAGTGCCTCCCCCCCAGTGCATATGTGCCTGTGAGCTTTTAAACATGGTACTGTTCTTACGGACGTGCAGATTTTAAAGCATAGTGCAGTATAGGGCTGGGGGTATACTTCTTTTGTTGTTGTTGTTTTTGTTTTTTGTCTTTTTGAGACAGGGTCTCCCTATGCAGTTCAGGCTGGCCTTGATTTCGCTTTGCAGTAGAACATGTGCTTACCATGCTCAAGGCCCTGGGTTCAGTCCTCAACACATTTTTTAAAAACCCAAAATAGAAAAGAACACAGAATTTCTAATGTATTTCACTTTGGACATCTTGAGCCAAGAAAATTCTTGTGACTAAGCTGTGGCTAACACTGTATTAGTCACTTTGTCATTGTTGGGACTCAATGCCTGACACCAACAAATTAAAGGATGAAAGGTTTATTTGGCCTCATGATTTTAGAGGTTTCAGTCCAGGTCAGAAGCAGAATGGGGAAGGGCCTGCCGCAGAGGAAAGCTGCCATGGCTCCTGAGAACACTATTTCCTGGACACATTCTCCAGATGGTTTATAGGCGTTCTAGCTATACTCTTATACCAGGTTAACTGGAAGAGATTTCAGACATACTTGTCAGGTTCTTAAAGAGATCATATTTCCTTGTGTCTGCTCCCACTCCCAAAATACCAAATTTTACATCAGTAGCACAAAAGAAGGGAAAGAAATGCAAAACTTCATGAAGCATATTCTAGCCAAGTATGGTGGCACATGCTGTAATAACGGAAGTTAATCTGTAATAACAAGCACTTCAGGAGGATAGCAATTTTGAGGCCAGGCTGGGCAACTAAGTGAGACTTTTCACTTAAAACAATAAAAAGGGCTGAGGTATAGCTCATCAGTGGTAGAGTGCTTGCGTAGTGTGAGTTCAGTACTCACTACTGCAAAAAACAAATTCTGTGTAACATGTAGCATTATAAAGGACATCATAAAGACCACTGACAGCATCCCAGAATTGAGAAGTACCTGTTTCCCAGATAACCTAGGGCAGTGAAAGTTCTACTTATATGTAGTAGACTGGAAATGGTCTTTTCTTTTTGACCTGATGTTTTCTGTTCCTTTCAGATCTAAATTGAACCCAACATTTTACATTCCAGTTTTTCGGAAGATTGTCCTACAGTTTGAATTTTCGCCATAACCCTCCAAGAAGTTTTCATTAGCATGATTGTAACTTATTAAGGCAGTATGATTTGGTTCTAAGGTATTTGTTTCTGTAAAAACTGTTAATGACGAATTATCTTACGTGAAATGTTAAGCCCATTTTGCTCTATTGATATAATGGAGCTTACGGATAGAAGACCACGTGTATTTCAAACAATAATGCATTACTGCCTTTCCTGCTTTGACCACTTCCAGTAAGTAAATGGATGTTTTGAATAAACCATTTGCCTTGTATTCATTATGGATTATGATTAACCCCTAACTTTTAACTAGCTTATCGACTATACAAAATCTTTCTGTATATTCTGGTTACCTAGATGTTCCCTTGAGATTTTGATATGATTTATAGGAGGCCTAAATCTGCATTTGAATTAAAAAAAAACAGGAGATTTGTTTTCCATATTTATGTAGGTATTTTATACTAATTTTGATATCATTACATTGTTCTCATGATTTTACTTTGCCATCACAAACATGGGCTGGGGGAAGCATTTCCCAAATGAAGTTTTAGAACCTGGGTTTTTAATACCAGTTTTAAATTTGTAAGGTTAGTTACAGAAATGAAACACTAGGTGGCACCCACGTAACAGTGGAAATGTTGATGTAATTGTTGAGGTGGTTTTTTTTTTTTTTTAAATTACTGTGCATAGAAAATTTCCCAAACAAGAAAAGATTGTTTTGATCATTGTTTTGATCATGTATGTAGGCTATTTTTGCAGAATAGAAAGATTTGTTTAAAAATGTTATTTTCAGAAGTCATGCATATAGTTGCAATTGTGAATGCTTTATAAGCATTTAACTAAGTACTGGGGTGTAGCTCTCTGAAAAATCCCTAGATTCAACCCTCAATACAATACTGGGAAGAAAAAAAGATGCTCTCTAATTTCTGGTGGAAGAGAAAGCAACTGTGAGAAATACAATAAAATAATCATGCTGCAGAGTATATTATATCCTCACTTTGTAATAAGATTATAGTATGTGGGCAATTTTGGTTGGTAAGTTTGTTTTTGCTTGTATTGGGACTTCAGGTTTACCCTTCCTTATTTAGTTTATCAGCTTTTCTAATAAAATGAAATTAGGGCTAGGCTAGTCAAACCTCACTAGGTACATTGCAGTCATGTCATTTTAAAGCAAATCGATCATGTAGCTTGTGGAAATTTTACTATGTTGGTCTCCAGAGAACTTTTCAGTGATGGAAAAGTAACACACAACAGAATAAATAAGCTCTTTTAAAGTCCCACTTTAACTAATTTTCTTTCCTAAGTATGCAAACTCTGAAGTTGAAATATGAGATACTATAAACATTATGACAGCGTATCTTTGTGGTTCCTGTTTCTTATTCTATGGAATTTCTGTGCATTTACCTAGGTGGAATGCAGCTAAGACCAAGGGCTGGTTTTTAATAACTCAGAAGAAACCATCCTTGAAGTATGTACTTGGCAGTTGTCTTCCTCAGTAACCGAAACCTGGGGTATTTATGCTTGTATACCTAAAAGTGTTTCGCTAAATTTACAGTGTGTGTAGATCCTTACATACGATTTTACAAAGAATGTTTGAACTCTGCATATGTGATGTGATGCAGTTTTGAGATAGTCCAACTCAGAAATGTTTTTCTATTTATCGCCTCTAGCAAACACGGTTTAAGAGTTTTTAAAAATTACTATGACCCCAATTCATGTACCTGCTGGTGGTATATTTTTTCATGTGTTGGTAATAACAGCCCAATCTAGTGCTGTTTACAACCTGGAAAATCTAGACTCCTAATGATTAAAATAGCTGAGGTACAGTTGTAGCTCATACACAGTGCTACTTTGAGAAATTCTTTGGCTAATTTGTATTTGATGTGGAAATTGTATAGTTTCACTGATTTGATTATGTTTCATGTAAGGAATGGAAGTGGTCCACAAGAAAACCTGTTTTTGTTTTGTTTGCTTGTCTGATTTTTTTTTTGTTGTTATTTTTTTGTTTCATTGGGGGTTTTTTGTTTTTTCTTTTGTCTTTTTGAGACAGGGTCTCACTATGCAGTTCAAGCTGGCCTTGAGCTCACTTTGTAGCCCAGGCTGGTCTACAACTTGCAAAGATCCTCCTGCCTCAGCCTCCCAAGTGCTGAGATTACAGGCATGAGCCACCACGCCCAGCTATTTTTATATTTTTATTGTTTTGGGGTTTTTTTGACTCCCATAATAGAGTGCTATAAGCAATACTCAGAAAATGAAATATTTTACACCTAAGAATAATACTTCTTACTACTAAGAAGGTATAATAATTACTACTAATCGGTTTGATAAGGTTACATTTTTAATACAGTGTATTCTATTTCCAGTTAGAATATATGATGTTGTGTTACTAAAGTGGCTAAAAAACCAAACTAAGAATTTGTTTAAAAAGACTTGCCAAAATTTACTTGACTGTTGAATCTTCCTTGAATATCCAGCTTTTAAAGGGACTTCTTAAGAAGCCTATAAACTATGCATGATGAAAATTTTTATATTTTATTGAAGAATAGCCATTGGTTTACTCATCATATCTATGGAATCATGGCTATAAATAGCTGCTTAAAAATTGTGTGACTTGTAAGTTAACTTAATCTCATTTCTTACATAAATATTACACTATGATGTTGAATAACATCTTTAGTAGGTATAAACTGTCAGTGTTGACTTCAGTGAAACTCTTGAGTAATCAAATAGATAAAAGCATGTTTTGAGTAAAATACTTAGGTAGATTTCTACTTGATTTGTATTGTGTATAGATGTAACAACATCCAGTATTGACTGTGGCCTGACAGATAAAAGTATCAGAAAGAAAATGAGGTTCTTTGTGTTACCTGACTGTCATAAACAATTAAAAGGATTTATATTGGTTTAAGATGTTTATACTGCTCAGTAAGGGTTAAGTTTCATTTATATAGTTAGGAATACCCCAAATCGTGGACTACTTGCTGTCTTTCCTTTACCTTAAACCAGTCCCCCCTTTTTATTTAAATTTTGAGATGGGATCTCACTAAGTTGCCCGAGCTAGGCTCAAACTTGCAGTCCTGCCTTAGCCTCTCAGAGTGCAGCCACTGAGCTTTTTCTCCTTGCTTTTTTTCTTTCGTATTCAGGAAAGAACAGCTTCTAAATTAAGTCTTAGTGTAGGTGTGAAAAAGCACTAGACTCTCAGGTATAAAATGAACTGAGTGATTTGGAGAGTATATTGGACTTTGTCCCCACCCCCAGTACTCTTGAGGCAGTGTGCTAGAAGGGGAACAGCAGAGGCCCTTGGGGTCCAGTGTCCTGTACCACAACCCCACCCTGCCCTCCACTGCGGATAACTACAAGTGCTTTCTCCAGCTTGTCTCAGATTCAGGCTCCAGACCTATAAGATGGGGATGATTAGAACGGTACCTGCCTCACAGAATTGTTGGGAGGATTAATAATGTAAATGTTTGTGTATGTGATGCACTCAGAACAGTGTCTGCCTCTTTTTCACTTGGATGTGGAGGACTGTGTAAGAAAATGCATGTCTTCTGTACTGTCTATTTACCAGATCTTTGCTTGCAGTCTTGATTCCTATCATAGAAGGAACATGTAGAATATATATTTGTATATTCATGTGGACACAAATAATTGCTTCCAACCTTATTTAAAAATTTAGGATAAGACTAAGAAGTCACAAAGTTGCTTGAAGATATTTTATAGAATACCAGCTGCTCTATATTTCTTTATAGAAAGTTTATAGGTACTAGTATTGATGGCTATGGATATATTTCATTTTTAAGTTTTAATGAACCATTTTACTACAGGTTCATGATAATTAATTAGTAGTGACTGGTTTAGAGGTTTCTTTTCTCACCATGTGTAATACTGTAAAAAAATCATGCAAACTACTGCAATTAGAAAATAAAATATAAATCAGCTTTGAACAATGTATGCAATTGATTCTTTTCAAACTGCATAACATTTTAACTAAACTTCCATGGTGATTTCCCGAAAATTGATTGTTTTAAAAAAATTAAGAAAAGATATGTTTTTCACTTTTTTTATCTTTGTTTTTGACTCTTTGAACTGAATGAATCTATTTAATCACATCCCCAATATGGGGTTGCATTTACTAGCAAAAAAATTTGTTGAAAACCTGTGCTGAAGACATGTTCTATAATGGTAACTCAACAGTCCAGAATAATCTCAGATTGCCAAAATCACATTCAACGGAGCTGCTTTTGTACTATGCAAAGACCTATAAGTGAAGTAAATATATTTTTGGCCAACTTGCCCACTTTTAAAAGGCTAGTCTTGGGCTGAGGATGTAGCTCAGTGACGCAGCACCTGCCTGGCAAGCACAAGGTACGTAGATAGGTAGATAGTCAGTCAGTCAGTCAGTCTTTACTGTTCCAATCAGGTCTTGTTTAGTTCACAACTTGATAATGGTAGATCAAAAAGTAGGGCCAAAAACTGAGTCAGCTCACATTGTTCGTTATTGTCAGATACAGAATTATTTGTATTTTGCAGATTATAAAGTTCATTACATGTTACATATTTATGATTTTGTGTGTGTTTTTTGAGACAAGGTCTCGCTGTGTTGTTAAGGGTGGCCTTAAACTCACTATGTATCCTAGGCTGGCCTCAAACTCACGATGATCCTCCTGCCTCAGCCTCTCAATTGCTGGAATTCCATATGTACACCACCACACCGGGCTCATATTTATGATTTTAAACATCTTTTGAACCAGGGCCTTGCACATGGTAGGCAGGTGTTCTACCACTGAGCTATGTCCCGAACCCTGGAATTTTCTGAATTTAATAAATGTGGGAATATTGAGGAAAAAGTTAAACTCAGTTTTTCTATACTCTCAATCAACACAGATTTCTGTGACCACATAATTAGATTTCTTCCCCACATAACAAGCAAGCAGTCATTTTTGCAGGAGGCAGACACTAGCTGAATGCCCTATAATTTAGTTCTGACACTAGCTGAAGATAGCTCACAGTCTCCAAGGCTGTAACCCGTACCATACCTCAGATGTTGATCACCAGCTCCAAGTTGTTTACCTGTGCTTCTGACCTACCAGCTTCAAGGTTTTCACAACCCCTTCGTAGGACTGATTAATTTGCTAGGGCAGCTCACAGAACTCAGGGGGATACATGTACTCTTTACTACCAGTACAAAGGATATGATGAAGGGTACTGATCAATGCCCAGATCAAGAGAGAAATGGGGAAGGGACACACAACTACCATTCCCATAGGAGCCACCCTCTATGTTTGGGTATTCTGAAGCTCTGAACCCTGTGCTTGAGGCCGTTCTTCATAATGCTTTGGTCAAAACACCATATTGCAGCACATTGAATACAAAAGTAGATAGGAGACCATCTTCTGTTAAGCCAAAGAGATTTGCAAAAATTTGAATGCCATCTCAAATGTGGGTTTTTTGGTCACTTCTCATTAAAGTACATGAAGCATTGGGCTTACTATTAATATCTGCAGTTTTAAATTTATGTATAGTCCTATTCATTGAAAGCCCTCCCCTGAATGTGAAACCAGAGGGAGGATGGGCCAAGCGGATGATGGGGGGTGGAAATGGTCAGAGTATGTTGTTATGTGTGTATGAATGTGCCGAAAGGAAAATCATCAACCTGTGTAACCAATGTGCATTAATATCTACCATATGCACCAATAAAGTTGTGGAAAACATACATAATCATTAGTGGTAGAACTAGCTCACAAGTGGGCTTATCACTTGAAGGAAAAATTGACTTTTTTTGGCCAATGATACATTTGTACTTCTAAGGAAAATTAGAATTTTGGAACTGAAATTACCACCATTTTAGATAGATAGATTTGGATTCTTAGTTCTTACGTATAAAGTAGGAGTTAGAGGCTTTCTGTAAAGGACCAGAGAGTAACTGTTTTAGGCTTTGCCGGTCATATGGTCTCTGTTATAACTACTCAATTCTGCCAGTGTAGCACAAAACAAGTAGATTTTAAGATACTCAACTGTAGGTTTCTAGGAAACAAATGGGGGAAAGCCAGGAAAGTATTGAATGCCATTTAGAAAAAAGTAGGTTGTATTCTTGGATGCTCTCACATAGTGTTGTTAAGAAGGTATTCTCAAATCTGAGTTTAATATAATTTCAATTAATATTACAACAGAATTTGAGGATGGGTGATTAGAAAACCAAATAGATTAATATGGGGATTACTAATATAGCAGTCATTTTTAAAATGTGCACAGGGCTGAGAATGGAGCTCACTGGCAGAACATGTACTTCGCATGCACCAGGCCCTGAGATCGATCATTAGCACCAGACACACACAAAATGCAAAGAGGGAACTCCAGATAGTTAAGTTATACCATAAGTCATCATAAAAAAATGGCAGAAACCAGCAAGATTAGCTCAGAAGCAATGAGTTCTTTGTACATACGAATTTGATAAATGACAGAATGGCTTTAGAAACCATTGAGGGAAAGATAGATTAAAAGATGGTGCTGAGATAGGGAATTTGAGTCCCTTCCTCACACCATTCTGTAGGTTCTTTCTTGACTGTTTGTTTTGCTGTCCAGAAGCTGTTTGATTTGGTGTAATTCCATTTCTTAGGCTATCTTCTTCAATGTATGTTTTTTGGCCCGTTGGTCAAAGCTCAGATGGCTGAAGGCACATAAGGTTGTTTCTGTGTCTTCTGTTCATTCCATTTGTCTACTTTTGTGCCAGTATCATGCTGTTTTTGTTACTATAGCTTCATAATATAATTTGAAGTCCCAAATTGTGATGCCACTCCCCCTTTGCTCTTTTTGCTCAGTATTGCATTGGCTATTCTAAGTTTCTTTTGGTTCCATATAAATTTTAGGATTGTTTTTTCCAGTCCTGTGAAGAATGTTGGTATTTTAATAGGTACTACATTAAATCTAAATACTGCTTTAGATGATATGGCCATTTTAATGATAAGTCTACCTATCTGGGATTAGGAGAGGTCTTTCCATTTTCTATTTGCCCACTTCAGTCTTTTCTGAGTTTTATAGTTTTGGCTATAGAGCTTTTTCACCTCCTTGGTTAGGCTAACTGAAGGTTGATTCCATTTGACCCAACTACACTTCCCCTGAGTATATTCCCAAAAGAGTTAAAGACATCATACTACAGTGATATGTGTGTACCCATGTTTGTAACAGCACAATCACCAAGCTCTGGAAACAGCCTAGATGCCCATGAACAGATAAAAGGATAAAGAAAATGTGGTATGTATATGCAGTGTAATGTTATTTAGCCATAAAGAAGAATGAAGTCATTTCTAGGAAAATCGGTGGATTTTGAGACCATCATGTTAAGTGAAATGAATCATCCACAGTTAAGTATTGTATGGTTCCTCTTACATGGAAAATCCAAAAAGATAAAGAGTAAAGAAGATGGTAGGAAATGGAGGCAGACTTTGGGGAAGAGAAAGAGGATCAGAGGAAAGAGGGAGGGGAGGATGATTCGAAGGGGAGGTAAAAGGCTCCAAATGATCAAGAAATTATAGTAATTTATGTATGTCAAGCGTACACTAATAAAATTTTAAAACAAAAATTATAATAGTCCCCATGTTCTTATTAACTTTACTTGATCCTACTAGGCTTCCATACAGTTCCAGGTACTGGCCCTGACTTGCTTGCTTCCCTGCTCATTTGTGTCTCTTAATTCCCTCTGGCTTGCTCAGCACACTTGCATCCTACTCCAGGCACACCTTTGGGTGTGTTGGGAACACGTTCATCACAAACATTTTTGTCCCACAGAAGGATAAGCTTTCTTCCAAGAGTCCCAGATGCCAATTCCTGAGGGCTTCAGCTCCATTTTTCTTTTAAATTGAGATATAATTTACACACCATAAAATTCACCTGTTTAACATATACAATTCATTGGGTTTTAGTATACCTACAGTTATGTAATTTTACTCTAATTCTAGAACATTTCCATCATCCCCCAAAGAAATTTGCACTCATTATTCAACTTCATGTGTTTGGGAGAGGTGGTACAAGGGGATCTAACCCAGGAGTGCTCTACCACTGAGCTACATTCCCAACCCGTTTTATTTATTTTTTTATTTATTTATTTTAACAGTACCCGGGACTGAACGCAGAGCCTTGTTGATGAGCTGCATCCCAAACCCTTTTAAAACTTTTTTTTTTAAATTTTGAGACAGGATATTTCGAAATTCTTACATTGCCCAGCCTGGGCTCAAAATTGTGATCCTCCTGCCTCAGCCTTTCTAGTACCTAGGATTATAGGCCTGTATCACCACACCTGGCTTCAAATTCTTTTTTTTTTTTTTAATTTTAAAGATAAAAGAACGAACACATTAACATACACACAGACATAAAACAGACAACTGGGCATGGTTGGCGCATGCCTGTAATCTCAGCTCACGGGAGGCTGAGGCAGGAGGATCGTGAGTTCGAGACCAGCCTGGGTTACAAAGTGAGTTCAAGACCAGCCTGAACTGCATAGCGAGGCCCTGTCTAAAAAAGACCAAAAAAAAAAAAAAAAAAAAAAAAACACCACAATATTATTTTTTTTTTTTTGGTTTTTCTCCAGTACCGGGAACCGAACTCACGACCTTGCGCTTGCCAGGCAGGCGCTTTGCCGCTGAGCTAAATCCCCAGCCCCTACCACAATATTCTTAATCATGTATTTCCTTTCTCTCCCGAGATGGGACTAAAATCCTCCAGAATAGTAGCACTCTGGGAGGCTGAGGCAGGAGGATTGAAAGTTCAAGCCCAGGGCGCAGTGGGGCACGTTTGCAGCATTGCCGGGAGTATGAGGCCATCCTGGGCAACGTAGTTCAATGCTGGTTTGAACTGCATGAAGAGACGGTCTCAAAGGGAAAAAGAAAAAAAAGACTAGTCTGGCCAGCTTAGGGAGACCCTGTCTCAAAACAAAAACATAAAAATGGCTAGGGTTATAGCTCACCGTGTCAGTGTGAAGGCCCTGAGCTCAGTACGTAGTAGTCAAAACAAAATAAATCATCCAACGTACAGCATAGGGTTATCACTTGGCGGACTGTAAACACCTAGAGGCTTGGGGCCAGACAAAGATGTCTTCTTCGGTATGATTGGTTGTTATTTTGTGGTGCTGGAGATCCAACCGGAGGCCTCACACAAGCTAGGAAAGCGCCGCAGAACTACGCCTCCAGCTCCTTCAGTATGTGTCTGAAAAAAATGAATTTCATGGCAGGGGTAAAAGGATGTGTGTGTGTGGAGGTTCCTCTCCTCCCTACCGTGCCCATACACGCGGCACTAGCCTGAGGAACGCGTACCCCGAACGGTACCCAGAGCTGCAGCACTTTGTATGCAGACGCCCCGTGCGTGTAAACCTGCGCGAACTATGTAAGTATGTGTTCGTTCTGGGTGAACATGTGTGTGTACAGTGTGTGTGCACTGTTTACACAGTGAAGATGTGTGCGGCTGCTGTAACTGCAACCTATACATGTTCCGGGTGTGCACGTTGCGTGTGCATGCTGCGGGTAAGCACTGTTCAAACAACTACGCACCCTCTGTGCGCAGGTCTAATGTGCGCATGCACTGCGTACGGTGAGCAGTAAGGACCCACTTTGTCCCGCAGGAAGACTGTTGGCCATATTGCACGTGCACGCTATTCGCACGCTGCGTGAGAACCGTTGGGCCCAGAGCACGTGGGTACCCTGCGCGCGTGCGCGCGCGCGCGTTCTGTGAGAACTGATGCGCATGCGGGTGCGCGAGGGTCTGGTGCGGCGTTGAGCGCCAGTGTGAGAGCTGCGCGCGTGGTGTTAGAACGCGTGCGCATGCGGGCGTGCGCGAGTCTGGTGCGGCGCGGCGGGCTGGGCAGTGCGCCTGTGCGGCCGGCACATCCCGATGGAGCGCCGCGGCAGTTTCGGGTCCGGCGCTCGGGCTGAAGGGGCTTCGAGAGGCGTTCAGCTCCCGGCGAAGATAGCTGAGCCGGGCGCGGTGCGGACGTCGCCACCGAACCACCGTCGCTCGGGTAGGGCCCTGGGAGTAACCCGGCGGGAGCCGGTTTTTCGGACCCCCGGGGGAGGGGGCGGGGCAGGGGGGGCGGCCGCGAAAGGCCTTCGTTATGCAGTGAGGGTGCGGGCGCGGCGCAGGGCATGACCCGCGCTTGCCGGGTCTGGGTTTATTGGGGCGCGGGATCCTTCGAAGGTTGCGCTCCTCTCTCTGCCGGCGGCTCGGACCCCTCCCGGTCTGGCCCTTGCGAACGGATACCTCAGGGTGGCTGTGGGAGGGCAGGAGGTGTGTTTGGGATGGAGGTAGCGGGGCCTACGTTTGATGTCCGAAGGGATTCTGGGATGCTAGCCCCTGTCCTCGAGAAGGAGCCAGCGGGGCGGACACTGAGGTGGCCCAGGCGGTCTCCCACGTTCGCCTTGGCCTGCTCAGCCGCCGTCTGTGGTCCCGGCAAACGCGCACCAGCGGGAGCTGCAGCCCACGCCGAAAGTGGCCCAGCTTTGCGCTTCTTGGCGTCCCTGGAGGACGAAACCGGCGGGCCACACCGCGGCAGAGACGGAGCGAGCGGCCGGGTCCGGGTGTCCCCCGCCGCCCAGTGCGCTCCCTGAGGTCTAGGGTACTAAGCTGCCCAGGTGGAGGCCCCTTCCCGTAAGAGCTCAGCGAATGAGGCTGCTGCTGCGGAGAGCCATGGGGAGCTGGCCCCACACTGGCCACCGCAGCGGGGGCTTGTGAGGGCACTCAGCAGAATGTGATAAGCACGTCTGGAGTCTTCTGGTGCTTACGTTCTGTAAAGTGGTTGCAGGTAGTGCGGGGGTGTAAGCAACTTGGAAACCAGTTTCGTGCTATTTTTACTGGCAACACCTTTTATTTGTTTTATTAGGAATTATTTTTAAAATTTTTTTAACTGCAGTCTAGCAAGCACACGAAAAGCGCAAAATCTTTGTACGATTTGTTGAATTATCACATAGGAAAGATATGAGTGTTTTATAGAAGGTGTATCAAGAAAAGAAAGAAGCGAAATATTTTAGTCACTTACAACATGCTTTTCATTGGAGTAAGGGGCAGTAGTTTCTGATTGGGCCTTCCGTTGCGTCAGCGGATGGCTTAAATCATTTTCAGTTTGTGATTTTATCATTTTCATTAAAGGCAAAACTTAATAAATAATCACAGGATAGTGATATACTTAAATACCTTTTAAACCTGTGTTTCTGCATTCAAACTTTTTGCTTGAGAAACTCAAGCTGCACCTAGTAGGGAAGAACCCAGAAACCACCCACCAGACCTTGTCCTCCCTGGCAGAGGGAACCCCGTAAAGTAAAACATTGAAAAGGGGAAGTTATTTGAGTTTGTTTATTTGGTTGAGAATTTGAATAATAGGTTATTTAGATGTTTTGTTGTACTAATCAGTTTCACATGGGGCTTTATGGTTGGCCCTTCAGTTATCTGGGGATTTTAATTTATTTGAAGGAACTTAAATAAAGGGAGACTTCTTTGTTTCTTTCTGTCTTTGTTGTTGTTTGTTTGTTTGTTTGCTTGACAGGTGAGAGTCTCACTGTGTTGTCCAGGCTGACCTCAAACTCAGAATCCTACCTTATCCCTTCTGGGTAGCTGGAATTACAGCCGTGCACTATCCATACACAGCTAAGGGGTGGGGAGGTCCTTAATAAATTGTGTTTAGAAATTCTAGCGTAGAATCATTTCATGCACCCTGCTGAAATTAAGATTATTTTAAAGCTCTTTTCCTTCATTTGAAATTGGAAATAAACTAGACATGTTGGTACACACATGTAATCCCAACATTCTGGGAGGCTTGGGCAGGAAGGATTGCAAGTCTGAGCTCATTCTGGGCAACTTAGTGAGACCCTGTTTCAAAATTTTAAAAATAAATAAAAGGGCGGGGGATATAGCTCAGTGTGAAGGCCCTGGTACCTCAAAAAAGAAAAAGTTGGAAATAATGAAAAGACATGTTATGTGAAGTTATTGTTGTTTTGCAGTGCTAGAGCTTGAATCCAAGGCGTTCATATTGAGTTACATACCCAGCTCTTATTTTTTATTTTTTATTTTCAGGAAGGGTCTCACTAAGTTGCTAAATTATCCAGGCTGAACTCAAACTTGTGATTTTCCTGCTTCAGCCTCCCCCCCAAATAGTGTGAAAGTTTAAAGTGTTAAAACTTCTATGTACATTAAGGTCGATATGGTAAATTGAAATGCTCAATTTAGGTGCCAGGTGGTATCGTCATTTGTTCTTTTGGGGTTGGTGAGGCTAAGTACTTAGAAAGTGTCAACCTCAGAAAAATGTTGGTTCTGAAGATTTTATTATGATCTATTCTCGATACTGATAATTTTGGGTTGCCCAAGGTCTTATCATGTGGGACCCATTCCAAATAAGAGTTATCCTGCATTTCTAGAGGATCAGCTGTTCCTCAGCTTGCGGTGATTGCTGTGGGAGCTGCAAAAGGCCTGAGATGTTTAGGTGCTCTCATTTTAGCATAGCAGGGGGATACAAATGGATGAGTGGTTTTCCTGAGAGATGTTATAGGAAGTAGCAAAGGAATACTTCTAGTTGTTTTCTCTGGCCATATTGATCCCCCCTGTTTGTTCCCATTACTCACCAGTGATGTTGCTTTTATTTTTGCTTACCTCCAGGATAGAAATTATCAAATGTACTGTTCTTTTTAGTGCTTGTGTTAAGTGCACAGTGTAACAAATGAGGAGTAAGTACCTATTGTTTCTATCTGCTTAAATGCTTTTAGCCAGCAGATATGATCCCCAGATCTCAATTGTCATGTCAGACTGTATCATTGTCACATAGGTCCTTTGCTGCTCTAGGCCTGAATGCCCCCCTTTCCCCTTTTCCTTTCAGAGATTCACTTCCTCTGGACCCTTTCAGTTAGAAATAATGTACAGTTCTTTCTCCTGTGTGCACCTGTAGTACCTCTAGCAAAACACTGTTTTTCTGCTTGTGTTACTTACATTAACTTTCTAATTCCTCAATGAACACCTGTTCATTGAGCGCTGCAGTATGCAGGACTCTGTGCTGGTGGGTATGGTGCTAATAAAGGAATAGATTGAAATCCAGACTGCCTGGGTGTGAATGTCAGCTGTATCCTTCCTTCTGTGTCACTTTGGGAAGCTACTTGACATCTTTGAGTTTCAGTTTTCTCACCTTTAAAATGGGCTGAAGAGTAACACTGGGAGATGGAGCGCTATTTTGAGGATGAAACGGTCAGTACCTCTAAAGCAGTGCCTGTCACATGGGAAGTACTTGAGCTGGTTAGTCATTATTAACCATGGGCTTATCAGATAGTTAGCCTGAGGGCAAAGCCTGGGTCAGGGTTTTAGGTCTGCCACAGTGCCACCTGCTACAGAGGGTAGCTGCATAGTCATCCTACCCTTCCTCAGAGTTTTTGGGCAGGGTACATCTGTAACTAGTGCTTGCCAGTTGCATTAGACTGGGAGCAGTTACGCTTGGTTGAGTGCTCAGTAAACACTCATATGAGTTGGATTAAAGAAATATGTCAGTGGAGAAGTTTGAGGTAATGGAACTACAAAGCATGCTTCCTGAGGTCTGTTGAACTTTCCGGTGTATTCTGCAGGTAAATATTATTTTACTGAGTTGAATTCATTTGCCCATTGCTCCTGGCAGTTGAAAAAATGCCCACTGGATCTAAAAACCAGACTATTTTATAATGGAAATTTGAGGAAGGGAGGTTCAAATTATTTTCATTAAATCTACATTGATTTTTTTCTTTGGTATCAGGAATCGAACTCAGGACCTCACCCTTGCCAGGCAGGTGCTGCACCACTGAGCTATATCCCCAGGCTATATTAACTCTTGATAAACATGTTGCCAGAGGCTTTGAGATAGCTGAGCACAAGGAGAAGCAACCATTGCCTCTGGCACTGGTTAGGACGGCAAACAGGATATGATGACAAAAATTGAGTTAAAGTTTCAGCATAGATTTAAGAATGTAAAATAGTGTTTTAATTGACTTCCATCTTTCCATCTTTCCCTCTTTCCCCTGGCCCTTCATGATTAAATTTAGGACATTTCAGAACTTTTCTGTGATTCTTTCGTAAGGAAGTAATTGTTTTGAAGAAAGATGGAATTCCTTAAAGAAAAAAGAAAGATGGGATTCCTTGATGTCTTTCCACCCGCATTCTTTCATCCTCTGACCTAGAGCAAGATTATATATGGGTATAAACTAGAAGTTCAAGGAATCTCCCCCAGGAATTCAAAGTAGGGTGGAGCTGAATAGCAAAGATTGAAACTTTGGTTGCCAAAAAACCAGTTCTTTGTCCTTTTTTTTTTTTTTTTTTTGTCTTTTTGAGACAGGGTCTCACTATGCAGTTCAACTGGCCTTGAGCTCACTTTGTAGCCCAGGCTGGTCTCGAACTCACAGTGATCCTCCTGCCTCAGCCTCCCGAGTACTAGGATTACAGGCGTGCGCCACCACGCCCAGCTTCTTTATCCTTTTTTAAAATTGCATTTATTTATTCCCTTACAGTACTAGGGATTAAACCCAGAGCCCCACATATGCTAGGAAAGCACTCTATCGCTGAGCTACAACCCTAGTCCTGAGAGTTGAGTTTAAAATCATTCTTGAACACTAATCCTAAACTGCTTGGACTGAAGGAGGTTGAGTTTGGGCATACAAAGCTCTAGCATTCTTTTGGCAGTGGAAAGAACCACTGGGTCAGAAAGTAATGGCACAAAGTTGTTCTTGGTTTGGGGCTTCTAGCTTTGTTTAGTGATGGCAGTATAGGACTTAGCAGGACTTTCAGGGCAAACTCCTTAAAGACTTTCTGACCATCAAAAGTTTGTTTTGTAGGAAAAATGGCTTCCCTCATCTCCTAGGATCTTTGGCTGTGAAACAGCTTAATGGGAGAGAAAATGTACCTAATTGTATGTGCACTAATAAGAGTCCCAGGAAATGTGAGACTTGAGGAAGGGCCAGGTGATTGAAGCATATTTAGCATCTTGAGCTACACAAAGAAATAGGGGCTTGAAGCTTCTGAGTG